GATGCAAATGTCAATATGGGTGATGGAGATGCGAAGAATGAAGCTCAAGGTCAATCTACTTCTGCTCCCTTCGAAAGTATTGTTTCTTTACCACATCCACTATTCCCATTACATCACCACAGATTCTCCTACCTTCGAAAATTTATCAATCAACCATTCACTTCTATTTTTTTCTTCTCAATCCACACACACCCAAACCTAATTCGACTAATCAAGAAACCATTTTTATGGAGACAGAAACTGATACTGAGGGGTTTGGAGGCATGTTTGAGGAATTAGAGTTTCATGAAGACGAAGAGGCGTTTCCAGTCATATCATGCTATGACCATGAAGCAATTTAAAATTCTGAATCAGAAGTTCAATTCTATAATTCAATCTCAAGCTGATCTGGGGAGTGGTTCATCTGTTTCAATTTTGGAGGTTGAGTCTATGTTGAAATTGTTTGAAGCCAGAGTTATGAGTAAAGTATCTGGGATGCTTAAGACTCTGAATCACGAATTTTGGAGAAGGTTTCCTAGTGATCAAAATAATGAACTACAGATCAATTCTCAAAATTCAAAGTTTGCTAGTGATGTGAAAGAATTGAAGAATGTCACAAGGGAAAGGCATGTTCTATTTGTTCAAGAAGTGAAGAAAGTGCGAGAAGATGTAAATTTGCAAATTCGTGAACTCCGCAAAGATATGCAAAACGAGATTGCTAATGTTCAACAAGATTATGCATCTCTGAATCAGAAGGTTGATATTATTTGTGACGCAGTCACAAGATTTGTCAAATTATATGAAAGTTTGAGTCCTCAAATTACTCAACTTTGAAACAAACGAAAATGCCCAACTTTTGGAAGTGATTACTTTGTTAAAGGAGATAAAGATCTATCAGTCCAGCCGGTTTCTTCTTCCCTGATTACTCCTGAATTTTTATCTCAAAAATTCTTAAAATTCGAAGCACTTCTCAACAAGCAACTTGCTCCTATATTTCTCATTACAAGCCTTCTTCCAACAACATATGCCCCACCTGTTTTCACAGGGGTGCAAGGGGGAGAAAGAAAAACTGGTGGGTTGAAGGTGAGGAAGATGATGCGAAAGTTTGTAGGAACAGTATTTTCTTCAAAGATCCCAACAACAAAGCCAGTTAATAGTTTCTGTTGGGCTGGTTACTTCAACAGTCGTTACAACGATCCTATACGACCTATTTCGAAAGGAATTGTGATTGGTAAATCTACGGAGACTGGTGAGAGTGGTTCGAAAACCAAAAGAGGTAATTGATATTCAGCCTTGAAGATAAAGGGAAATCGATTGTTGTGGAAAAAGTCGAAAGAAGAAAAGAAGGATTAAGTAAAGCTGAAATCGAAACTGAGGTTGATTCAAAGCATTATGACTCAGCGTGCTAGTGATCCGAAGGGAAGGACAAAGGTGATCCATCAAAACCACTACAAATACGAAATAATTGAGGCCAAGGTGCGTATAATCACATGTATTCGTTTGAGAAGAAACCAAAACAAAGTTATTTGGTCACGAATACTGATGCAAGCCAGCTGGATTTTCCATAACGAAATGATGTTCATCATGCCTCAGTTCAAAGCAGAAGGAAATTTTAAAGAAAAGGATGAGGTACACACATGAAAATTCGATTTCATGCTGTTCTTGCAAAAGCCCCTGAGGAAGGTTGGTCTTTGATAAAGATCAAGAAAGTTATTAGTGTGAAAAAGGATGTGGTGTTCGAAAGCACAGTCCAGAACATCAAGTATGTGGTTGCCAGGGCAAAATGAAATATTTGCGAATTTACTATTGCAGATTTTCCATTAATGAACTTGTATGATCTTATACAAGTTGCATTGATTTTGAAAGATAAATCATTTTCGTATCTTCAAAACACTGAACCGGATGAATTCAAGCTTGGGGTTCCTCACATCAAGATTTTTCATCGAAAATTATTATGAGTGCTTGGCACTAACGATGTGGAGTTAGCTACAGCTAAAGAATGGAAATAAAAGTACCAATGGCTCCTACGAAGACTCAAGTAGATTTGAAAAAGTATGATGATGGAAATCTGTTTTTGCCTTTTGAATGGTCTTCGCAGGAAAAGACAAAGCTGGAAAAGCTAAACGATTCTTATTCCAAGCATGCAAAGTGGAGAGGTACTCAACGTCTCAATATACGAACATAATTGTTCGTATGAATCATTGTAGGAAGAATAATGAAGGAGATAAGAAAGAGCTGAAGAAGATAATCTCCTGGTACACGGAGATTCGAAGAGTGTTGCTGTATTCCATCAACGCTTCTTACAAATTAAGGATTTCGACTAGATTACAAGGAGGAGATTGTAAGGGTCGAATTGTTGTAATTAGTCAAATGTATTTTGAACTCTTCGAATGTTTTGTAATCTATTTTACTGAGGCGCTTTTATTCGAAGCCTAAGTGTTTATGCCTTAGTATATTTTTTGTACGCTTTCAGTTCCCTATAAATAGGGATATTTACGACAGTTAGATAAGAGTTTTTTACAGACCTGTCTTTGTACTCTGTAAAGATTCGAAAGCGTAATAGAGCTGAAACAAGATCATATTTACATCTGGTGTTCAATCTTGCATTCTTAATTGATTTCATACTCTGATTCGTTTTATACTTGATTCTTTGATTCATCAGTATAGTCGAAATGTAATTTCCCATGATTAAGTATGTCTCATTCATACAAGATTAGGAATATCACTATGCTCCCAACAGTTCTTAGTAAGCATAAATGTTATCTTCATTTTGATGTAGAAAACATACTTTATGTTTTCCTTATTAAAATGATGATTTCAACCTTGCGATGTTTGCTTTATATCCATAAATGGATCTCTAAAGCTTACACACTATGTTAGAATATGTTGGATTAACAAAACCTCCAAGCTAAACTATATAGACATTTTCAAGTAGGTTTCCATAAAGGAAATCCATTTTCTTGAAATCTATTTGTCATATCTCATAATCATATTATTAGTTATGGTAAATAATATCTTTGTTGATCTAATCATAGCTATTTGAGAAAAGGTTTGTTCATAGTCACTGAAATGAATATGAATGAAGCCTTTTATAAAAAAGTCTTTCTAAATGTGTATAGATCTCCATGTTTGTATTCTTTCTAAAAGAATCACTTATTTTTTTTAGACTTGCTATAGGGATGAAGATTAATCAAGATCATACTTGATTATTATACATGGATAACATCTTAGTGTTGATGGCACAAAGTCATTTATCAGATTCTAAATTTGATATAGCATTTTGGTAGTTGATGGAATTGCCAAGAACCGTCAAGAAAAACTCATCAATGAGAAATTACATATTTCTCAAGTTATAGATGATTTCTACCATATATGCGAACAATTTGAGTTTTCGAATAATTATTATTCATGTTCAACAATTTCTTGTTATAACTAGTGCCAACTATTGTTACATTAGGCTATTGTTCTTGATCTACTTCAAGTTCTATGTTCCTTCCACTTGCTTCATCATTAGAAGCTTGCTTTCTAACAATTCAACTTTTAGAGGAATAAGTGACATTATTCTTGGTGAGTTTAATAATCTAAATAACGTTTTAGAATATTTTACAAATATGTATTTAGTAGATTTTGGTCTTCATGAACAAAGATTTGTTTATGTGTATTATTGTTGCTCGGGAGATTAATTATCTTTTTTTTTTCAAACAACATAAGATACAATGCATAAAGAAGTTTTAGTGCACTGCAAAAATACACCTCATTATTACGTCAAATGGTGTATGAAAGAAACTCGGACTCGATAGATGAGTATCTGAATATGTCAGAAAGAAATTCACGTGAAAGTCTTAAAACTTCTACTATGGTGTTATCCAACTATATATGGACGAATATTCACGCCGTCCAAAACCCACTAACATTCAACTTTTGTACGAAGTCATACATGGATTCCTTAGAATGATTGGTAGCATTGACTGCACACATTGGAATGAAAGGAATTGCCCAATGAAATTAAAAGGCCAATACATGATGGGTGATCATGAGTATCTAACAATGATACTAGAAGCGGTGGCGTCACAAGATTTATGGTTTTGATATGCACTTTATGGTGTAGCCAGTACAATGATCTAAACACCCTCTACCAATCACCAGTGTTTGACGAGAAATGTCATGGAACAACACCTAATTGTTCATTTAATCTAAACGACAAACATTACAAACATGGTTACTATCTTGCGGATGAAATATATCCAACTTAGTTCAATTTGTGAAGTCGTATCCACATCCAATAACACACAAAATGAAATGGTTCAAAGTTGCACATGAAAGATAAAAAACTAAGGAGAGAAAAATAGATATTGCGGGATGGATAATTAAAAAAATGTTATGTTTTATTTTATTTTTAATTTTCTAGTTTTATTAATAATAAAATTTTAAGTTAAATAATAAAACGAATATTGAATGGGTTGGAAGAAATGAAATATATAAATTCTCATATGTTATGGAATTAGAAAGATAAAAAAAATGTAAAAGAAAAATTGATGTGAATTTTATATGACAAAAGGGTTGTGAGGGATAAAAAAGATAACACGCGGTCAGCCCTAAACAAAGTTTCGGTTGCTTGGTAAAAGCTGTCCCTTTTTCTTAACAACTAGCTCAAAATCTTTATTATTTTATGCTGAATATAACCATTTAACATAAGAAATTTAACTATTTTTACGAGTTTACATAACCTATTATTTGTTTAACGAGTAATTTTTTACATAAGTTAATAAAAGAATAATAAAGCATTATGTAATTTAGAAAAAAAAAAAGTACTACATAAAATAATAAAAAGTATGATGTTTATTTTGTTTATACTTTGAAGTTAATAAAAGTACTCTCTTTACACGTTATTTTAGGATCATCTCACCATCTACCACCTCATACAGGCATTCAATGCTACCAACACCTTCCGCTTTCTTCATATAAACACCCAACTCAACTGCGCCGATAACCATCTCACTAATTCTTTCATCGGAATTAAAATGGCTCCGGCGACCGGATTTTCGTACCAGAGGCTGAGGAACGAAGGCAGTGGAGACGAGAATTATGAGTACCTAAAAGAAATGAAGAGAGCGATTGCTCACGTGAAGGCCAGAATCCAATGGTCTTCGAGGTTGAAGAGAGTGCCATTGAGGAAGAAATCAAAAAAGATGAAGATCCCAAGCTTGAGGAAGTTCATGAGGAGAAGAGCTCGAGTTCTGATGCTTTCAATGGCGAAGGTTGTGAAGAGGCTCAAGGACAGCCAATCACATTTCGGCGATTTGTTTGCTGGTAATTATCTGTTCATGCAAGTCAATCCTTCTTCTCTGAAATCTTCTTCTCCGTTTGCAACTCGTGGATCAATTAAGGGAATTGAAGATCATGATTTACGCTGTTCTTCTTCTTCTTCTTCGTCCCTTAGGGTTTCGTAATCTGATTGTTCATCAGGTACAGATGGATTAATGTATCTGCAATGAAGATTCATTCACACGGTGATTAAATTCGGAATAATTAACTTTTGATATTCACATATGAAGCTAATCTATATATTTTTCAAGTGATTTTTGTCTCCTTGCATCCATGGATGATCAACTGGACGATATTGATAGCAAATTCAGTCAAGCAATTTGCTTTGTGAATTGTGATCATACTATTATTTGGAAATAAATAATTGTTGTTAATTTTAATATGTTAATTGTTTATAAAAAAAATTATTCGATCCAAACATATTTGTGCTGTAACATGTATCAAAGAAATAGAGATATGAAAGATGATGACGTATAACGGTATAAAAGGGATAATGAAATAAAATGTATTTTCGATTGATTTGTTACTGATATTATATTTTTATTTTATTACATTGCAATTATATACTTTACAGTTCCTACACAATTAAAAGAACGATATTATAATAAAATGAAATAAAATTATTATAATGTAATACACATATAAATAAAGACAAACTTACAAAAAATTATCATTTTAGTTTAAAAGGTTTTGGAGTAACGCCGAAGTCCAACATAATAAAAAATAATATTTTTTATTATGGTTTTGGTTTTTTTTTTATTTAAAATATTTAAATTGACAAATTTGTATTTTTAATTTGTTTATTTTTTATTTTTCTTTTTTTAAGTCACTTATTTGTTTTTTCTTTCTTTAAGTCACTTATCTTTACAATGACAAACTGTAACACTAATTATCCTTACCCCACCCCACAACCCTCTTCCAAGTTCCAACACACAAAATGACTACATCTCTCTTCTTTGTCTATCGAAGCTACCACCATCTCGTCGAAGCACCACCTCTACCATAGTCAAGCCACCTTCACCAGTTTTCAGCTTTCAGCACCGTCAAAAACCCCCTAAAAACGTCGTTAGATCTTTTCTTCTTCTTGTAGAAACCATCCGAACTGCAAACACAAACATCTCTCTCTCTCTCTCTCTCTCTTAATGATTCGTTGTTCCAGAAATTCCCAACGAACAATATAGTCGACGTTTTCTAAAAATGTGAAGGCAAGAAATAAGGTTTCCGAAAACGTGAAGTTGTGAGCTAGGGTTTCTATTATATATGCGACAGCGGCGGCGAAATGGACGGTACGAGAGAAGTCCGCAACGGATAATGCTAGGGTTTCATTGTGTTCATCGAGTTACAACGGGTTGAAAGGGTTTTCGGCGACCGGTTGCTAGGGTTTTTGACGATCAAATTTTCCATCGTCAGTTTGTGTTGAACGACGACAATAGATGCGGCGAGTTCCGAACAGATCTTCGTCATCAAACTGTCACTATCGATGGTATGTATTAATCATCAAATCCAAATCTCTGTCGCCAGACCTCCACCGTTACCAAACCTGTTTACAAACCATTCACCAGAATTAAACTCTAGCACCTCCCTTCTTTGTCTTTCCAAATCTGGTAAGAAGGTGTTGCTCCTGGCAACAGGTGACGAAGAGATGGAGGTGCTCCGACGAAAATGACGGCTCTCATAACATGGTAATGGTCGCGCATGTGGCGATGAGAGAAGTCAATGTGTCAATTTGTTAAAGAGTAAGGGGGTTAGATGGGTTAGTAGGAAGGGGTAAATGTTTTTTTTGTTTTTTTTTTATTTGGTAATTTGAAAAGTAAATAAAAGAAATGAAAAAATAAAATATCAATGCATAATCATCATTTTAACTAGTGGTGCTATTCTAAAAAATTTGGACAAAAATGATAATTTTTGACAAACAACAAGGATCATTTTTATCATTTTTTTCTAAATAAAATTATGTTGTCTCTGGTATAATGCTTTTTATTTGCACCATGTTCTATATAAAATGACTATATAAAAAATGATTGTATAGTTTGCTTTGATATCCGATTTTGTTATGAAATATTACTTGGTGAATGACCATTGGATTCCTCATATTCATCCATCTATCTCCATCGTTAATGAGGGTTATAACAAACATTATTATGAGTTTTATGAGTGTAGTTATTCACCACTATAAAGTGCATCTATAACATAGCTCACCTTTCATATTTTTTTGCTAGTATAAATAGTGAGTAATGTGTATTAGAAAAGTTTGTTGTCTTTACCACAAGTAATAGAATAAACTTTACAATCTCATTTCTTATTTTATTCTTTATATTAGCTTCACATTTCTTAATACATTATCAGCAAGATTCTGCGCGAGGATCTCGAATCGTCCAATGTATCTTGGATTTAGCTTTCCATGCTTTCCGAAGCGTATCATGCCTTTCCAGGGTGAGACCTTCAAAAGGACACGGTCACCAACCTGGAATTCCAAGGGTTTTCGTCTCTTATCGGCGTAACTCTTTTGTCTATCTCTTGATGCTTTTAGTCGTTCTCGGATTTGTACGATCTTTTCAGTCGTCTCTCGAACGATTTCAGGACCCGTGACAGTGCTGTCGGGGACTTGACCCTTGACTAGCTGCGTGTCACCCACTTCAGCCCAGCACATAGGGGATCTCCACTTACGGCCATAGAGGGCTTCAAACGGCGCAGCCTTGATGCTGGTATGGTAGCTGTTGTTGTAGGAAAATTCGACCAAGGGCAAATAAGTGTCCCACGACATGCCGAAATCGATGACGCAGGCTCTCAACATATCTTCAAATGTCTGGATTGTTCTCTCACTCTGCCTATCTGTCTGTGGATGATAAGTCGTGCTCATATCTAGCTTAGTTCCAAGGGCCTTCTGTAGTGACTGCCAGAATCTCTAGGTAAACCTGCTATCTCGATCGGAGATAATGGACACAGGCACCCCATGAAGGCGAACTATTTCTCGAAGGTAGATTCGTATCGGTCTCTTCATTTTGAAGTTTTCTTTGATTGGTAGGAAGTGAGCGGATTTAGTTAGTCGATCGAGAATTACCCAGATGGCGTCGTACCCACTCAGAGATCTGGGTAACTTAGTGATGAAATCCATGGTAATCCTCTCCCACTTCCACTCAGATATTTCTGGCTGCTGAAGTAAACCTGAGGGCTTTTGATATTCTACCTTCACCTTGGCGCAAGTCAGGCACTTGCCCACGAAAGTAGTGATCTCTGCTTTCATGTTTGGCCACCAATATAGTTGTTTGAGATCCAGATACATTTTATCTGAACCTGGGTGAACGGAGTATCTAGTCTTGTGAGCCTCGTTCATGACAACCTCCCTGTACCCACCGTATTTTGGGGTCCAGATTCGGTTCATGAAATAGTAAACTCCGTCTCCCTTGACCTCTAAGTTCTTTTTCATTCCTCTCAGGGCTTCATCCGACATGTTCTCTGGTTTTAAGGCTTCCAGCTGAGCCTCTCTGATTTGTGTGGATAATTGGGAATGGATGGTCATTGTCAGTGCCTTCGCCCTGCGACCTGAATATTCCTGTCGGCTGAGGGCATCTGCTACCACATTGGCCTTGCCGGGATGGTAGCATATTTCGCACTCGTAATCACTGAGTAGCTCTACTCATCGCCGCTGCCTCATGTTTAACTCTTTCTGATCGAAGATGTGTTGTAGGCTTTTATGGTCGGTGAATACAGTGCACTTGGTTCCATAGAGATAATGTCTCCAGATCTTTAATGTGAAGACCACTGCTCCCAACTCTAGATCGTGAGTTGTGTAATTGACTTCGTTCGTTTTCAGCTGTCTCGAGGCATAGGCGATAACATTTCCTCGCTGCATGAGCACACAGCCTAGGCCCTGATTCGATGCATCACAGTAGACAACGAAGTCTTCCGTCCCTTCAAGCAGGGACAAGATAGGTGCGCTGCATAGGGCCTGCTTCAATGTTTGAAACATAGTGTCTTGCTTTTCTCCCCAACTAAAGGTTACACCTTTCTGTGTCAGGGTGGTTAAAGGCTTAGCGATTTTGGAGAAGTTTTGGATAAATCTGCGATAATAGCCAGTGAGACCCAAGAATTGGTGGATTTCTGTGGGTGTCTTTGGTGCTGACCAATTCTCAATCGCTTTGATTTTGGAAGGGTCCACATGTATGCCTTCCTCGATAACCACGTGACCAAGGAAAGTTACCTTCCTGATCCAGAATTCGCACTTTGAAAATTTTGCATATAGTTTCTCCGCCCTTAATGTTTCTAGCACTTGTCTCAAGTGTTGTTTATGATCATCTTCGCTCTGCGAATAGACAAGTATATCGTCAATGAACACGATCACGAACTTGTCAAGGAAAGGGCGGCACACCCGATTCATCAGGTCCATGAATACTGTCGGTGCATTGGTTAGGCTGAAGGCCATTATTACAAACTCGTAGTGTCCATAGCGAGTTCGGAATGCTGTCTTGGGCACATCATTCTCATGAACTCGTAACTGATGGTACCCTGATCTAAGGTCTATCTTTGAGAAATAATTGGCTCCCTGAAGTTGGTCGAAGAGGTCGTCGATTCTGGGTAAGGGATAACGGTTCTTGATGGTAAGCTTGTTCAGTTCTCGGTAATCAATGCACATCCGAAAGGATCCCTCTTTCTTTTTCATGAATAAGATCGGGGCTCCCCAGGGTGAGGAACTTGGTCTTATGAATCCTTTGTTGATCAGCTCCTTGAGCTGACTGGATAACTCTTGCATTTCTGTCGGCGCGAGTCGATATGGATATTTAGCTACAGGAGTAGCTCTGGGGATTAAGTCGATACGAAACTCGACTTGGCGCTCGGGAGGAATTCCTGGAAGATCTTCGGGGAAGACATCAGGAAAGTTGCAGACTTCGGGGATGCTCTCGAGGTCTTTAACTTTTTGCGTTTCGTCAACAACATGAGCTAGGAATGCATGCCATTCCCTCCGCAGATACTTCTGGGCTTTGATGCATGAAATGATATGAAGGTTCGAACTGAGTTTATCACCGTAAATAGTGAGGGCTTCACCAGAGGGAAGATTGAGACGGATAGCTTTATCGAAGCAAAGGATATCAGCACAATTGGGGCTCAACTAATCCATGTCGATTATGACATCGAAGCTCTTTATGGATACTGGCATAAGATCGATAGGAAA